GTTTTGTACAAATAATTAAAAGTCATCCGCCAAAAATATTCGAAAAAAGTGAGCACAAAAAAGTGATTTGATTCGATTGTATTGTACTTTACAAGAAAGTGAAGATGTGAGTGGCGATTCAGCAAAACCATCATACCAACCGAATCAAATTAAGAAAAATTTAATGCAACAATAGAACCTTCCTTGCCTAATGAGTCCCCATTAAAATCAGTTTATTATTATTAATATTATTAACCCCAAATATAAACATATCACTATCCAATTCAAAAAGTTACGACCACCCTTTCGCATTTTAACAGGCCCAAAAATGAAACACAATGTCTGTAAGTTGCATCAGAATAAAAGACTAAAATTTAACGGATTAAAAAAAGAATTGGCACAAAAAGAAATTAGCTATGGATCATAATGCTTAAAGCGAAATAAAATGCTCGTTACCAGCGTCATAATGCTTTTTATCTACTTGCGAAAAATTCCCAGGCTTTGCAAAAAGTTTTCAAAACCCTTAAACTTCTACGTAGTACCAATAGGGTTATGAAATTGAAGTTTGATCAATGGCTGACAACTGATCAGTAAAGCTGGATTTATAGTTTTAAAGGTAATGGTAGAGGCAGCGGTAGGGGTAGCGGTAGCGGTATCACTTTCTGCAATTTATAGTTCAGAAAGTAGCGGTAGCGGTACTGGCGGCGCATGCGTACTTTAATGCAGATTGTAATTTTGTTTCTAAAATTTAATAGCAAAAGGTTAAGTTTTCTATGAAAACATGAATTGCGAGGACAATGCTGTGCTTCTGGGCCATATGGCGTTGTGCGAAATATTATATAATAAACCCTGCAATACAATATATTATATATACAATATATTTTGTTGTATTGCAGGGTTTCAAGTACGTTATGGGGGTCGTCAAGGACGTCGCTATAAAACGAGGGAATTAAATCGGGAACGAGCTAAGAAAAGCCATTTACAGTATTAAAAAAAATAAAGCTGACTGATAAAGAGCAGTTTTTTTAATTCACAAATGACGATGCCCATTTTTGACAATTTATCAAGTCTGGTTGCCCCTCGCATAAAAACTAAACTAACAAGGCGAGACTGCCAACTAAAAACTGCCGTGTGATTGGCTAGAGTAGCTGTTGAGGTAAGGAAAGGTGAAAGATGGTCATTTCTTGCCGCTACGTTCTTGCCTCTACCACCCTTACCGCTACCTCTGACAACTATAAATTGTTTCATATAATAATCAATGCCGAACTCGGATACCGCTACCGCTACTTCTACCGCTACCTTTACCGCTGCCTCTACCGTTACCTTTAAAACTATAAATCCAGCTTAAATATTAAATTATTTAATGAGTGATTTTTGTAACAAAATTTTGAAGGGATCAATTGCTAAGTCAAACAGATTCCCTTAAGTAAATTTTTAATTTAAAAATTATAAATTATTTATTTTATGTGCAAGATAAAATACAATCTCATTGTCTTCACGTGATTTAATACAAAGCGAATAATGTGGTGAAACACGAGAATTTTGTTGTAATTTTTGAGTATATATGACATGATGAATTAATGTTTATTTATTTAATGGAAAAATGATGCCCTAAAAGGGTGTTACTGCTTGAACTAAAAGCCGGGGATCTACGAAATAAACTGTCAGGATTGTGACAAGAAATATGTTGAACAAACCAAGTAAGGTTCAACGAGCGATTGGTCCATTCTAGATTTTGTAGGACAAAGAAATCGAGTGTTGCTCAACATATACTTAAAGATAATCATAGAATAGGATTTGACAGCATTAAACTTATTAAGGAAGTTAGGGAACAAAGTCTGCTAAATAGCTACGAAAAATTATACATCTATAAGAATATAAATAATCTAAACTCTAGTTTGTATAAATTAGTTTGTTAGTTTCTCTGTATGTGTTCACTGAAGCGGTTCTGGTCCACGGTTTAGTAAACTGTGTCCGTTCAGTAGTTACACTTCGCTTCTGAAGATGCCAACCTCGTTGGCGAAAAATACTTTAAGCACTGTGTTTTTTTTGGTGTTGGGAAATATTTCTAATATTTGTTTAATTAATTTAAAATATTTGCTTCTTATATTTGTATTTTTTGCTAAACACATATTTTTAATTCGATAAATTAAAAATATCATAGGAGACATTTTTAAATGTATTAAAAATATCATAGGAGATATTTTTATTTTATTAAATAAGCAGATATTTTTAATTGAATGTTATATTTTTAATTTCGACTGATTAAGAGTTTCGATACCCCTGTAATTCCAAACGTCACAAAACCGTTCCACTCTAGCAACAAACTAACGTGCACTGTACTCGTTCAGCATACGCTGGGGTAGAGCGTCAACGGATTCAAGTACGTCGTAGATCCCATTGATTGTGCCGCACTCTAGTGACAGAATTAGTTTGAAATACCAAGGGTGTCCATACTTATAATCCGAATTTAAAATTTTACATTTAATAAAAAATATCTGCTTATTAAAAAAAATTAAAATTAAAATGAATTAGTAATAGCTCCTATCATATTTTTAATGCATTTAAAAATGTCTCCTATAATAGTTTTAATTCAGCGAATTAAAAATATGTGCTTAACTAAAAAATACAAATATAAGAAACAGATATTTTAAAATTACTAAATTAAAAATATCAGTTTGGCATAAAAATTTAGTTTAATTTTTAAATATCTACTATGACATTTTTAATTCGCAGAATAAAAATTCTTATATGAAATTTTTTATCCAATTGAAAATATCACTTTAGTTTTAACACATAATTCCTTAATAAAAAATAAAACGGAGCCCTATAACTTGATATATTTCGTAAATATGCAACACCCTGTATAAAATTTAAATAATCTTAAAATGTAGCTTTAATGATTGTCCATTTATTCAGTAACTAAATTTTTTTAAAACTATAATGTCTAGCTGTTAAGTCCATGTCTGACGGTGCAACTTCTCGCGGCGACTTTGTTGCGGCGAATAGGTCGCCGCGATTTTTTTGGTGGTCACACGATGCAACTAATCAGCTGATCTAACCTGTTCACCGCGACTTAGTAACTTTTTTAGGGATTTACGAATTTTCACTAAATTTTTTGGTTGGTACTCAATATTTATCAGCTGTGGATTGACAGATGTGATTTGCGTGTGCTTTAATCTGAGTGTTTTTATTTATTTACAAATTGTGATAATGAACCAAATAGGCTCTCAGGGATTTACGTGGGATAGGGAATCCACTAAAATTTTAATTGTAGGTTACGAGATAAACCCGAATCTGTACCTCACAAATGATCCGGGTTATAAATTAAAAAATAAATATATATTTTTACACCACAAAATACTTATAACTTTAAAAGAAAACCAAAACCGATTTAAATAAACATTAAATTTGTAAAAGTAATGTTCGGTTATGTTGGCAATCCTAGTAGAAAATAACGTCAGTTTGGTTGCACCGTGTGAACACCCTAGAGGCGAGAAAGTCGCTGCAACTAGTCGCCGCAACAAAGTCGTCGCGAGAAATTGCACCGTCAGACATGGAATTTATTGTGCCGAATACCGTGGATAACATTTTATTAGATCGCAGTAAACAAAAAATGACGTTATCTAAAAAAAAACGCCGAGACACAGGTATCATTTGTTTAAGTCTATTTATAAAAAAATTTCATGGGAGGGAAAAAAATAAAATTTTGTCTTACTGTGTAATGGGCACACAAAAAAATAACAGATCAAATTAGACATCTACTGACCAAAAACGGACCTCAACAGCCAAAAAACACAGGCAATTAATACAAAAGATAACAATACAAGTATAGCGTTATCATCATTAAATTAACAACGAAAGGAGATTGCTACGCAGACACGCTAAAACAAATAATAAAAGGCGAAAAGACGAAGAACTCACCGAGGTGGCAAACAAAAGTCGGGCTCTAACACCGAAAGTGCTGGGAATTAATGCTATCTGCCAAGAGAAGGTGGGCCCTAAGGATTTGTACAGTATACACAGCTGCTATACTGATGCTAGTCAGAACAACCCCTTTAACCCTTCTGGCAAAAGTGCAGCTAAAAATAAGGTATACAAACAGGTAACACTACAAAAATGGTAGGAAGAATGGACAACAGGTGCACAAGCAACATACAGGCGCAAGCTGATCCCAGAACTGACCCTGATAACAAGAACACATAGGAAAATAGGGTTCCATGTGACGCAGGTACTAATCGGTCATGGATGTTATTAGGAATATTTAAACAAAATTAGAAAATCAGTCACAAATATCTACAATTACTGCGACCATGTCGATACAGCAAGACATACAAAGTTTAAGTATGGCCAATAGAGAGAATTGAGGACGGACACGGAAGCAAAGGTAGGAAATCTGACCTCGGCTAACATGCTGACGAAAACTGAAAAATGGAACAATATTTAAACCATGATGAACCTCAGAAAAATTAAGACTTTTTTTAAAAAGTAAATTAAATTGGGGTAAACTAAAACACTTACTTTTATTTTTTGTATACTTGTTTTTTTTTTCATGTATAATTTCTAAAGAAATATGTAATATAACACGTAAGTAAAATTAACGTAGGTAAAAGAAATCAAAGAGAAATTTTTCATAAATCTTGTTTTAATGAATCTGGTTTATAAAGAAATCTTTACAAAAGGTAAAACCAAAATTGTTTTATTTCTAGCAATATAAATTATAGTTGTATAGTAATATCATACCTGCGTTTTGTTTGGGTTTTGCATAAGCAAGGTTTTAATTTGTGATGTCTTCTTTTATACTTATTTCTTATTTAATTATCATTTATTTAGAATTCGCGTATATTTTTAAGTTATTTTTTTTCTCTAGAATTATTAAACAAATAAAGAAGGTTAACATTAAACGATTTGACAATGTATGCGGTTTTTTATATTTAAACGTAATAATGGAAATAAATAAACAATTAAAGAACAATATTTTTCGTGGTTCTTTAAAAGACACATTTTTATTGTTACATTACCTTGGATCCATATTGTTCATGTTTATAAACTCAGCTACACTATTTCTTCTCATATTATGTAATTGCATGGGTATATTATAATTTGTTGTTAATAAATTTGCTTCCGATATACTTCTGTTTTTATTCCATTTGTTGGGCATTTCACTAAGGCATTCTTGTTGCAAAGCAGCTAAGGGTAAATTAAAAAAATCCTAAAATTATAAAAGTTTATATATTTATCTGCTTGTTTCGAAATAATACCTTCTTTACACCAAAGTCCGGATCTGAGCGATATTTTCTGTTAAGTTTATATTGTATTGTTTCATTTTCGGAACTATCATATCCAGAACTACCCTCCTTTAGGCCATGAATTTCATTATTTTGTATTCTGAAATAAAAATGTTGTTGAATTTAGTATTTCATAAGTTACATTTTAATTGTTATAATTGATAGTTTTACAAAATTTTACAAGAACAATTTACAAGTAAATATTATAAGAAAATACATATTGCAAGAAAGAAGAGTAATTGAGAGGGTTATATGCGATTATATTATAAATATGACAGAGAGGTTAGTTATTGCAGGAAAAAAATAATTCTGTCTTGTTCCACTTAATATGGCCATCTTTGTCTTTTTGGTCAAAAACCTATCGTTTTGTCCAGAAAATAAGCATATACAAACAATTTCGTCAACAGTTTAAACCTTTATAATTGTTATTAAACCATTGACAGTGTATTTTACTATAAATATAATCTGATAAAATCCGCTTTTGTCGTCATCGCTATATCCGGGTCACCCAGTTGGCTGTGTTTTATGTCCAGTTAGTTCACCCCCGCAATCATCAGTTATTTCGTTTATATCTGCATTTGTCCGGGATCATCTCCAAACGTCTTCTTACGTCTGGTTTTATCCGCGATTGCCTGTATTTTGTTCGTTCATTTTTGTCGAGTTTCATCCGCAAACGTCTGGATTTATCCGCGCTTACCTGTATTTCTTTAATCTGTTTTTATCCTGTTTCATCTGCAAACATCTGCTTTGACCCAAAAACGTCTATCTTGTCCAATTTCACCCGCAAACATCCGCTTTTATCCGCTAACGTCTAATTTTGTCCGGTTTTACCCGCAAACATCTGCTTTTACCCGAGAACGTCTGATTTCATCCAGTTAGTGCAGTTTGTCCGGGATCATCTGCAAACGTCTGCTTACGTCTGGTATACTATAGTGAAAGAGTACCACAGAAATAATAAGTATCATTTCTTACATATATATATATATACAAAATTATATCATTGCTGCGTCCATACATTTATAAAATCCCTATTCTTATTGCGTCAACGACCTTACTGCGTCAGTATATCTGACGCACTAATGTCAAGCGCTTATTTCTTAAAATTTACTTAATCCCAGCACTTTCTAAGATTCTTGCTAATACAGATCTGTGTAGAATTTAATGCCCAATTTTTGTGTCCAAAAAGTTTTTATGTCCTACCCTGCGTTTTTTAAATATTTAGAAAAATTTGAACACAAAAAGTGTGCAGCAACATATATACTAAAAATGGAAAAAATGTGTATATTTAGTTCAACCCATTTGACGATGAGGGCGTTGCAAAAATATACGTGTTTTTAAATACTGTTTGTTGTTGCGTCGCACAATTTGGCAACGTCTCGCCTATGATTTTAATATTTGAATTAAACTCACGATACTGTTGCGAATGGTAGCGCTAGAGACAGTTGTTCTTTCGTTTAAATGTAATCATATTATAATCTTGGGGGGCGCGTCGAGTTTTATGAAATTTACAATTATGACGGTCGATTTATTAAAACTGATTGTAAGATAAAATTGTTTTGTCCATAAATAATTGTGACAATGCATTTTTTAAATTATATATGCAGATGCAGATTTAAAGGCAGAAAAACGATTATCATTTTTTTACGCTTATAATCGTAAAAAAATGATCATCGTTTTTCTGTTAATTTTACTATTTTAAAAATAATAAAAGTTTTTCATGTTTTTAGATACTTAAAAAAAGGTTAATATCAATGTAAATAACTACAATGTGTTTTATGTTATTAACAGGTAATTCAAAAAAATTTAAAAAAAGTAAAACATCAATGTTATAAATACAGGGTGTTTCTACTAAAAATTTACAATCTAAATTAGGCTTCCTAATAAATATTTTTCAATTGAGCTTTTGTTTTTGAATTATCAAACTTTGTTTTGAAGTAAAACTTTTTATGTAAGTTATTTATGGGCGGATTAAAAAAAATTAGTTTTTAGTAAATTTTGACATTTTTTCTTTAGTATCTTTAGTAGATTTATTACAGTTTTTACACAAAATAACAAAAACACAATACAAATTTGAATGTCTTATAATAATAATGTCTAATAACATAATAATATCATTAAACAATGCAGTAGCAAGTTAAATAAGTAGTTTCGAAACTCGAATGTCGAGCGGTCTATGGAATGTCACCCCATCCATCCATCTCTATGTTCAGGCATAATTAAATACATGTATATCTTAAAATCAAATAATACCACACAATGTTAGTTAAAAAAAAATTGTCTTAATTTTAAAAACATTCAATCCCCCGGGGGCGCGGCAAAAATTATTTTTAAAAATTAAAAAAAAAAAACAGCTTATACAAATACCCTTCTCACAACTTTTTTTAACTAAGTGAGATTTCCAAAAATAATTATTTCAGCCCAGCCTACCAAATTTCTAATTTTTGCCGCGCCCCCGGGGGATTGAATGTTTTTAAAATTAAGACATTTTTTTTTAACTTACATTTTGAATTTGGCATATTGAAAAACTCACTTGTAACACAAAAAAAATCTTGTTATTTTATTTTAATTTTAAGCCCCTCCCCAAAGCTTTTAAAGTTCTAATATGCAGCTCTTCGATTAAAAAAAAAGCCGTGGTGCGCGGCGTAAAATTAAAATATATACATATTTTTTTTGTGTGTCTTAAGTAAGTTAATTCCTAATAGTTTTTTAATATGCCAAATTCAAAATTTAACTTAAAAAATATTTTTTATTGAATTTTGAGGAATTTCATCCCCTCGGGGGCGCGGCTAAATTTGTTTTTAAAAATTTGAAAAAAACTGCTTATTTGTGTACCCTTCTTACAATGACAATGAACCCTCAAAAAAATAAAAGTTCCCGGGAATTTTTTGAATTTAGTGATTTTTTTTATGTTCACGGAAATTTTTGTACTAAAATTGTACACGTTTTTGTGGTCTAGTTTACACAATAGATTTGGTCAATAAGTAGGGAATTAACTTGGAAATTAGTAAAATTAGGGTAATTAGTAGGGAATTAGAGGAATTACTAGGTATTTTTTAAATTAAAATGGAATTATAATATATTATATATATATAAGGAGAATTAGTAAGGAAATAGAGGTATTAGTAGCAATCCTGGGAATTAGTGTACACATTTTCTTTTGCGGTTTACCCCGAGGGGTAAACCGCAGGGGAATTTTGGGGTACAATCTGTAGGAATTAGTAAGGAATTAGAGGAATTTGTGGGGAATTAGAGGAATTTGTGGAAAATTAAAGGAATTAGTGGGGAATTTGGGGAATTACTCGGTAAATTAGTAAGCAAATAGTGGAATTAGTGGGGAATTAGAAAGAAATTAGAAGAAAGATGATGTCTCGTTTAGCACTTAAATATAAAGAAAAAAACAAAAAAAACCCGGAAGTTACAGAGCTACTCCATTCTTTGCCAGTTCCAGATTGGGAGTAGTACCACTGCAGCATTGAAAAAAATGAAGAATGTTGTGTACAGCACACCACCCATATTTTAACAAAAATTAGTACTCGTTTCCTAAAACCAGGAATACATCTGCCAATTGGGAAATACATTGTCTTCTCTGGTCATCTCAGGGAATTAATTTTAAAGTTTCCAAAAGACAAACATCTCCTGACAGATTCGGATCTCAAAAGTGAAGACAAGATGAATTTTGCATCCGCAGAAAAAATGTGCAGTTTGATAGCAATTGAACGACTGAATAAGGAAATTCCACAAATTAAATAGAGCGTGGCGTATCTCAAGCTAATGTACTATATCGAATCGTCGTTCTTAAATTCCAGCACTGTGTTGCATACTAGATTACATCGCATCTCGTATGTTGTATTTTTTACTAGAATCTGGAGAGCCTGGATTAAAGAACAAAAAGAATATAAAATAACAGACAACTTTTTGACCAGTAATTGTAACCTTTGCATCGAAACGCCCATGCTTTGATTAAACTAATACTGAAGCTTAACAGCGGTGAGTTAAAACCAGATATGTTCATCACCGGCATTTTTGGTAGCCAAGCATGTGAATCCTTATTTCGGGCTGCCAGATCCATGACTTCTACGTATTCAACAATAATACATTTTAGTATAAAGGATATGCTGAACCGAATTGAGAGAATTAAGACAACTGATACCATAAACGATCTGAGGGGGACTTTTACATTTCCAAGGGAAGACAAAAGATTAAAAACCAGACTAATGAAAGAAAATTTACCACGTGAAGAAGAAATTTTAAATTTGGATATCAAATCTACAGTTAAAAAAGCTCTACAAAATGTCATAGAAGACATGAAACATCTTGGAATTAATGCAAAAGAAAACGATTGGAAATATATGCAGGTAGGTACCGTTAATAAGACGGAAACAAAATATTGCAATTACGCAGGATAAAAAATCATCGTACTGCTGGCTTTTAGATCAGTCCGAGGGTAGAGTAAGTACTGGCTGATTAAAAAGATTTATAGGCAGTACAAGGAAAAAACCGAAGAAAACACCTTGCAAAAATTTCAAGTCGACCTTGACTATAAACAGAAGCTATGCATGGATTAAGCTAGTAACACAAGCACTGTATCCTCCTCCGACTCTATCGTGATGGAACTCACGACTCCGATGATTTGGAGGAGTTTTCAGATGAGATCTTGTCGTATAAATCAGAAAATGTATCAAAATTTGCCGGACTCGAGGTACACTTAGAAAACTATTAAGCGGTTTTCTATGATCAATCGTGAGCTTTGCTGCACGAGCGAGGCGAATGTAGAACACACAATTTACAAATCGCCGCCTTTCACCACGAAATATGTACACTATTTTTTATGACAAAATGAAAATTCGACTTTCGCTGCCCTTTAAGAGAGAAAAATTCTTAATATTTAAGTTAATTCATAAACAAAAATATACCAAACTAAAGACAATAATTGGCTTAATAAATAATATTAATTATTAAAGAACTTATGCTAAGCGAAAGTCGAATTTATGCTGCTAGTGTCATGAAAAAGCATTGATTAATATAATACTTTTCTTTACGCTTTTTAAAATGTGCTTAATAAAAGTGTTGCTGGGTAATAAAGTTTTGCTAACCAGAAAA